AATAAGAGTAACAAATATTAACCCTGGTTATCCATTTGTTTCCAAGTATAGATTAAAGTCCTGTTTGTTCATTTTTAAAATACTAAACTTGGGTATCACAGGTATCTGTTCTCATGTATTAGTACACTTGTGAAGGAAATCCAGCATCACATGTTCACTTTAGCTCCACCAGGAATTGTAAACTATATGATTCTACTTAGATTATACCAGTCAGTCTATTAATATCTAAAATGCTTGGATGAAATCAGCCTTTACCAAATGGGTGCCATCCAACTGTTTTGGATGTTGACTGATGGAAGACTTCATAACTTTGGAAAGGTACCTTGCTGAGAAGTCCTGTGGGTGGGTTTTGCCAAGCAAAATTTGGGAGTTAATATCTTGCTTTACAAAAGGCATCCAGTATAGGCATTGGGGAGATGATTCTAACATTAAAAAAAGAGAAGGGAGGAAGCAGTGCTAGATTCTGGCACTAAGGACAGAAGTGATTAGTCCCTCTTGTGGAGGTTCTCTGAGAAAAGCTACTATCTGATTCTTCCAGCAAATGTTCGTATGTTTAAGCTCTTACAATGGGCTGCATTGTGAATTCTCAGGGAATACCATTCCCTAAGCTTGAATACAAGACCAAGAAAATAAAAAAACCCAAAGAGGAGGCTTCATGCAAAAACTCTCTCCATGAATGACTGTTCTCTGCCTTTGCTGGGTGAAGTTAAATTGCTCTCTTGTCTCTTGCAGGTGTCCTCTCAATGGCCAATGCTGGTCCCAACACAAATGGATCTCAGTTCTTTATTTGCAAAACAGATTGGTAAGCATTGTGGAATGCACATAGGTTGCTCTGTGTGTTCTTAATGTACTCAGTTTTATTGAGGACATTAATTTAATACTAAATTGCCCAGGTTGTGCATCATCCGCCATGGGAAGGAACTAAGGCGTAAAACCTGCTTCCTAAAACCATTAGCTCTACTAATCAGGAAGGTCATGTTCCCATTCTGTTTCATTAGCATTGCTTTTCTGTAAGAGTATTTCTTGCAGCATACAAATATTTTGACTGTAGCATTTACATATTATTTAAATTAATATTCAATCTAGGATTGGATTTTGCCAATTGAAATACAGTCGTAAAATGCAAGAGTGGGAGGGAGGAATC